TTTATCTGGTGCCCTTCCGACCCGTTTGAGCGGCGCCTACTTCCTCTCCGCGTGCAGCGGATGGGCAGCAGGCGCTTAGCTTCCTCTCTAGCAAAGAGTACTAGACCCTGGCACCACGTTGAGGTGGCCGGCTAAGCCAGGGAGTGGTCGTAGTCGTAGTTGTAGTCGTTGTTGTCGTAGTTGTCGTAGTGGTTGCCGTATTTATTGCATTTGTTTTTTGATTTTGGTCTTTTGCGTTATTGGTCGCATCACCATCCGCCTCTTCATTAGTGGGTTTCTCATCTTTTTCCCGATCCTGTGCCTGGCTGAGATCACCTTGTGACTCTGCTGTTACTTCCCCTCCCTCACTTATCTTTGACGGAGGAGGAGGTGTACTCGTCGGATCCGTTACCTGCTTTGGTTCCTCCGTCCGATTATCCTCCAGATCGGAATCTTTTCCAGAATTACCAGCTGTTTCTTCACTTGTTGTCACGCACACGGACGGGCAGCAGCACAGGGCGAGCACCAACAGGGCGCACAGCAGACGGCACGTCGTCATCATCGTGAGTGTGGTCGTTCAGTGGTGTGGAGCTGATCTGCACAGTGAGGGACATGGAGAGCAACAGGGGAGACGAGAGGTGCGGCAGACACACACACAGAGGGCACACCACATGAGGAGAGGGCAGCAGCCAGGCATGCACCGTACGCCGCACACCACGCACGACACACACTCCAATCCACGGCAGCAGGCACACACACACACACACAGCCCTGCCGCAACACCAACACACAGATGGAAGAGGGAGAAGCAAACAGGAGCGGCACACAAGGCTCCACCGCATGCACATACGGCGAGAGCGGTCCGTCGTGTCGGCACCCCTCACGGAGGGTACGCACACACACAAGAGGAGGTGCAGCGCACACAGCAACACGAAAGCAAAGTAACAATAAAAAAAAGGAGATCCACGCACACCACGTGAATTGTTGGTCCACGGGAAGCGCAGCCAACATTCATCACAAAAACAATTAATTCGACTTTGGTCTTCGTTCATATTCAGTGCACAACACTTCATGCAGGCCGGCCACCGCAGCAGCAGCAGCACAACTAAAAATGCTCGCAGGGAATGGTATAAAGCAAGCAACCATTTATTTGTGTTTCTGTTTAATGTTGGCCGATGTCCGCATATGTTTTTTTGTTTTTGCGGGGGGCAAACTTAATGCCTGGGTCGTGTGTTGGGGATTACTGCAGGGTGCACAATTATTATTAGTTTTCTTTCCTCTTGTGAATTTTGCTTGTGTTGGTACAGACAAGAATTCGGTTTCTGTTGTTCCTGCCTTTTGCTGGTAAAGTGTTGCAATAGATGTTTGTTTCCCTCTTTTCGTTGCTGTGGCACCTGATTCCTCACCGTTTATTGCGGTGGAGATGAAAATATGTGAGTGGACTCCCACACACCAGAACGCACCTTCGCTCCTATTTATTGGTGCATGGAAGGGCATGTGTGTTTGGTGGTGTCTCGTCCATATATTTTGTGGGTGTACATTCCCCTGCAGGCTGAGGGCGGGGTGACGCTCCGTCGCGGTGCACTTCCCTCGCATGCCGCCCACTGTGATTCATCATGCATCACCCTCTTTCACATATTCCGTGGTGCCACACCGCTGATATTATTGCGGCCGCTGTGATTCCGCGTACTTCACGCATTTGACTGTGCCACAATACATCCGCTCGTGTGGCCGCCGCATCCAAACAGCGGTGCCCAACACCGTGAGCGGCAGTCCACATCCTTGCATGTCCCAACGCTGTGGTGTTGGACTGTCAGCCAGGCGTCAGACAACAGGAGAGTCTTGTGCTGGCAGTACAACACACGGAGCTGCAGTGAATGACTCGGGCGGCGACGCATCTATTCGTCGCAAAGCAGTGAAAAGGAGTCGGGCAAAATAATGCCGGCTGCATTCACGACACCATATCCACAGCCAAAGCATGCGACGTGATGTGTGTTTCACTGGTGCTGTGAAATGCCTGCAGACGACGTCACTAGTGGAGGCATGCCACCCATGATCAGCGGACAGACATTAATCGGCATGGGAGGCCACAAAAGGCAGCAACGACGCCAGCAGCAGGAGCAGCTCTCTCTCTCTCTCTCTGTTGCCTCCGAGAAGTAAATATTCCACCAGCCGCAGCCGACTGTGCCATCGTGACACTCCATGCACGTCGTGGCTGCGTCAACACATCCTGTTCCCTGCTGCGCCTCAAAAGATGCCTCACTCCGTCCACTAAGTGCATCGGTGTGGGCCGTGCCTGGGCTGTTCGTGAGGACCACAACGATGTGAGGGTCACCGAGTCGCAGCATGTTTGCTGTGGCGTTGTTGCATGGCAACTGCACACACACACAGCGCCTGCATCCCTCCCTTTTGTGTCCGCCCTCTGCCGGAGTGACCACACACACGGGCAGCAGCAAAATCACTTCGCCCTCGACGATCCAAGATCAACACCGACATCCCTCGCAACCCAAAGATCTCAGTTGCCAGCACGGGCCTCCTGCCGCTCTGCCATCGACGCTAAAACACGGCACAGTGCACGCACTTATTTTCCTCGTGTGCAGTCAGCCGTTTGCTTCACACATTCTTCGATGGGCTGACGCCCACAAAAGCACGCCACAAAAGGCCACTGTGATCGCACACGCTCTTGCGATGAGCGTCGGTGTGTGCATGGATCCGCCGCTCACACGTGCTGGCAGGCAGCCTGCAGCCGGTGCCCTCGTGCCAGTCCATCGGCTCCAGCACGGAAAAAAGAAAACGGCCTATTCCCGATGCACTTATTCCACCAGCAGCACCAACACGCTGGTCGCCAGCCGTCATTCCTCAGCACATCCAGGAATGCCGAAAAGTGACGTGGAACTGTCAGCCAGCAATGCCACAATCCCCGCACACATGTCGGCTCCACCAGAGAAGACACACAAATCACAAACATCGCCCTTCACATGTCATCCGAACATCATTCCGACACACCGCGACACGCCAAACAGAAGTATTCGTCACCCCAATGCACCTCCCCACACAATCACATAGTCCATGCACCACGCACGGCAGCAGCTCACACGCGGTCAAACAAATGTTCTTCGGATCAGTGTTATCCACATGCTGCAGTGGGAAGTAAACAAAAGAGACGAGCGGCCAAACCCCAAAAGATTGCCACGACTGGCCGCAAGCCAACGGAACGCAGCCACTCAAAGGAATTCAGTCCTCATGCCCTCAACCTCCCACCTTCCCCCACAAAAGACCCACAAAATTAACATCAAATGCACTGTTAAATAAAGCCGCCGTGCAACACAAAACAAAGCCGAAGTGCCTTATGCTGTCCTCACAGTCCGTTGTTGTCTTCTTCGCGGTGCGACTCCTGCCCTCTCTTCGTCAGGCCTGCGCACGCCATGCGGATCACAATTAACTCTGTGTCGGTGGTGCCGCTCTCTCACCGAGGAGAATGGGTTGTCTCGCCTCTCCCGGAGCCTCTTCCCGACGTGAGCACCGCAACTCCTTGCTGACCAGCGAGCGGCGGATTGACGTCCTCCTGCCCAACCTGCGGCAGAGTGCGCTTGTCCGTCCACAATGTGAGGGCACATGCTTGGCGTGCTCGGCCTGGCGTTCCGATACTTTGAGAGGGCCTCACATGCGGATGCCAAAATGGCGCCACCGTCTTCCTAACAGGCGCCTCGCGCGCAGGTTGCCACCGAAGTTGCCAAGCATGCCAGCAGGCAACACACGCAGTAGAACAAACGCGGGTACTCTAGATGGACCAGGGGCTTCCGCCACCGCCTCATCCCGGATCCCACGGGCTGCTGATCCCCGACGGACCACGGGAGACTCTGCCTCATCCACTGCGGGAATGCCCTCGTCGTTGGGAATTTGGACAGCGACTGTTTTGGACTGCCCCAGCCCGCGCGACGGCCCGTTTGCGAAGGAATACTTGCCACTTTTGTACGGACGGCCCTTGCAATACTCACTCTTTATTATAACAGTATCCAACAACAGCAAAATGACAATTTGCTTTGTGATAAATATTGGCTGCGCTTCCCGTGGACCAACAATTCACGTGGTGTACGGGGATCTCCTTTTTATTGTTACTTTGCTTTTGTGTTGCTGTGTGCGCTGCACCTCCTCATGTGTGTGTGCGTGTCCTCCGTGAGGGGTGCCGTCACGACGGACCGCTCTCGCCGTACGTACATGCGGTGGAGCCTTGTGTGCCGCTCCTGTTTGCTTCTCCCTCTTCCATCTGTGTGTTGGTGTTGCGGCAGGGCTGTGTGTGCGTGCCTGCTGCCGTGGATTGGAGTGTGTGTCGTGCGTGGTGTGCGGCGTACGGTGCATGCCTGGCTGCTGCCCTCTCCTCATGTGGTGTGCCCTCTCTGTGTGTGTCTGCCGTATCTCTCGTCTCCCCTGTTGCTCTCCATTTCCCTCACTGTGCAGATCAGCTCCACACCACTGAACGACCACACTCACGATGACGACGATGTGCCGTCTGCTGTGCGCCCTGTTGGTGCTCGCCCTGTGCCGCTGCCCGTCCGCATGTGCGGCAGATTCTACGGGGGTCAATAAAGCTTCAGTTGACGATAATAAAAGTGCCGCCATTTCATTGCCCCTGTACAAGACATTAGCAAGTCGGCTGACGCTGATGGAAAGGCCACCGGTCTATCGACCCCTTCATCAGGACCATCAAAGGGAATTCAAGGGAACGGTCAGCCAAATCCGCTAATTCCTGGGCCCGGTGACGAACAAGGAAATACTGTTGTTGATGGAGGGGATGCGACCGTTCCGAGAACGCAATCAGATCAAGTGCGTAATACGTTGCAAGAAGAGGATAGTAAGAGTACGAAAGGAACAAAAAGTGACACGAGTCTATCCGAGGAAAAAACTGGTAAGGAGGCTGAAGATTCTGGCGTGATTCCAGATACCTCCAAGGAAACCAAAAAGGTGACTCCAACTGTGACGGCTGAAGATGTTGTAAGCGCCCCAAGTCCACCATCCTCTACAACAAAGACTAAGCCGGCTGACGCCAAGAAGGCTGAAGATTCCGCTCGTAGGACCACGACGACTACAACACGGGTGCCAACTACGACCACGACCACCACTGCGCCCGAGGCACCTAGTAATACAACAACCACAGAGGCGCCAACCACGACGACCACCCGCGCACCGTCGCGTCTTCGCAGGATCGACGGCAGCCTCAGCAGCTCTGCGTGGGTGTGTGCCCCGCTGCTGCTCGCCGCATCCGCGCTGGCGTACACCGCTGTGAACTAAAGAATTGTGTGCGTGCTGTGCGTGCCAGCACTCAGCCACGGGGACATGTGAGCCTGTGTTCTGCTGCGATGTAAATAAATGAGAGAAAATAATGATTGTGTGTTTTGCTTTACTTGCTTCCGCTGCCGTGCTTTGTGCTTCGCGTTTTTGCTATCTGTATCCGTCACGTTGGACGCATCCCAGACACAGTTATGCATGGCACGCACACAACTGTTTGCGTGGACGCATTTTTGTGTGCTGGTGTATGCACACTGGAGCCAAACTCTGCAGTTGCTTTTTCTACTTTTTTGTTGCTTCTCTACTCGTGTTTTTAATTGTTTGTTTTTATTGCTGATTGATTGCTTTAGGGCGGTATGTGTTTGTGTTTGTTGCCTTTTAGTGATTCCATTTGTCTCATGGTGTGTTTGCTGCTGCTGGTGGGCTGGCATTTGTCACTGTGCGGTGGCTGTGTGTGGTGTAGCGGCCGTGTCTCTTCTTTTTGCTTTCACTCTGCGTTGACGGGGAGTTAGTTTGTGCTGAAGGCTACACGCAAGTGACAGGAGTGATGGCGATGATGATGACTGGCCGTGTGCTGCTGCTGGTGTGTGCCCTCTGCGTGCTGTGGTGCTGTGGTGCGGCGGTGGTATCGTCTATGCCTGACGTTACCGGTCGTGAAAATGTTCCGCATGGGTATTTGGTTGTTAATTGGGAAACGTTGCTAAAGAACGAATGTGCGACGGACGAAAAGTACATTAATAAGGATGGGACGGTGAATGAGTCAGCGGTGAAAGACTGCATACGCGATGCGATGAGGGTGGTTTGTAACGTTTTTTGTCGTAAGATTTCAGGGGAACCTGACGACTCTGAAGGTGAGCGTATTTGTGAGGAGTACGTTGGCAGCCGAGATGAGGCCGGCCAATCTTCTCATGTAATAACACCGGCGGAAGCAGAAACTCTACAAGCACCAATGAGCGACCTGGAAGAATTGGGAAAAACACCGGGAGAGACACCGAAGCCACTATCGGGAGGACCAGCAACAGAAGGTGAAGCAGCAAAAACAACAGGAGGACCACCAACACCGCCAGTGGAAGCACAACACAACCGTGAAGGAAACGTGCCGGTTTTACACCCAGAAGATGACCCAGGGACCACAGAGTCAAACAGTGATTCGGAAGAGGATGACAGCGCCTCCACTACAGACAAACAAGAGGGTGTAACACCCGACGGTCATGACAAATCAACCCCAACATTACTCTCAACCGCCACCGATACTGTCAAACATGAGGCAGACAGGGTCAATACAGAGGGAACTCAAAAACCTGCGACGGAATCAAATGCCGAAGGGAAAGAAGTAGAGGAAAGCGATGAAAAAACATATGACAATACGAAAAAAATTCCAGCTGAAGCAGCTGCTACAACAAATAATACAGCGATGCCTGGCGACGGTGACGGCAGCACCGCGGTCTCCCACACCACCTCCCCTCTTTTGCTTCTTCTTCTTGTTGTTGCGTGTGCGGCTGCTGCTGCGGTGGTGGCCGCGTGAGAGTGAGTGAGAGAGCGCCATGCACCGCCCGCACACACACTCGTCCTTCACTCTCACTCTCTGTGTGTGTCCCCTTGCATGGACTCTCGCCCCCACCTCACCCCACGAAGCACACACATAATGTGCCCATTGTATATATGCGTGCACACCCATGCAGGCCCGTTGGTGCTCTCTTTTGCACCACACGCACCGCTGCCGTCCTGCCTGGCTGCATGGGCGGAGAACCGTAACCGTAACTGTTTTTTATTTTCTTTTTTTTGTAATTTTTTTGATTTGCTTTTGCTATGAGCGCTTATCTATTTCTTACAAACCCATTCCTTTTTTTTTTGCGTATTTTAAATTTATTTTCTTGTTTGCTTCTTTTCATGTTTAAAAAATTTTTTTTTCTGTTCTTTTTTTTTTCAAATCGTTTTTTCTTTTTTTACTCCCCCAACACTTTTTATGCTTTTGGGGGCAATCACTATGGACGTTCTTTTTTCTTTTCTACTCTTCTCTCTTTTAATTGTTTCTTGCTGCACTCTTCCTGTGAGGGGTGCCGTGTGTTTCCCGCCCAACTGCTCCACTCGCACACCCACCGACACGCTCATGACGACGGCCCTGTGCGCCTCGCCTGCTGCACGCATGAGGAGGGGCCGCGACGAACGGCGCGCTGAGGGAGCCGTGACGTGTGGGCGTGCGACGAGGGCCTGTGGGGCGGAGCACACATTTCTTTCCCTCTTGTTTTGTTTCCTTGCGGCCAGGGCGGGCAGACACCCGCAGCACCACACACACAGCCACACCCTGCCGCCGTGTTTTTCTTTTCTTTTTGCTTTGCGTGTGCATTTCACGCGCTGGCAGTTCCGTCAGCATTTCTCTCCCATCCGATGATTTTTTTTTTTTTTGCTGCGCTCACTCTCCCGATGGAGTGACGCGACTGCCGTCATGTCTGCGTGCTTCTCTCAGTCCCCACACACACACGAGTGACTGTGCTCTGCGGGCCGCACTCACACGCCGATGAAAGGGCTGAGGGGAGCAGCAACACGCAGATGACCCCATGAAATATAAACGATGTGCGGACACACAGAGGGTCAGACGGTTGAAAGACACTTAAATATCTTTTTAATTTTATTTTTGGACAAAATATGCAGACAATTTCTGGAGCAGCACGGTAGTTGGGTGCTTTTTTTTTGTGTGTGCTTTTTTTTTTTTTTTTCTTTTTTATTATTTGGGTGTAGCCGTAGTAGAGGACGACTTTTTTCAAAAAAAAAATATTTTTTTGTTTTAAATAAATCTTGTGTGAATTGCCGCTGCTTGGGCTGCAGTGCAGTCATGAGTTTGAGCGGCGTTCTTGTTGTTTCTGCCATGCAACTCCGCTGCACATTTTATTTTGTGCGTTCTTTTGCATTTGTTGCTCTTTTTTTTTTCTTTATACTTCATTGCTTTGTGTTTCTGCAGGCACACAACAACCACACACACAAGATGCACATTGCAGTGGATTTGAATGCTCCTTTTGTAGTGCATGCTGGCAGTTGCGTGTGGCGGCTGTTCTCTTCCGTGGCCATGAGAAGGGAGGTGGAGGGAGTGAAGTGCGCACCCCGAGTCCCTTTCCTGCGGGTGTGGTGCACCGCGTGTGACTGCGTTGAGTTGGGCTCCGTGTTTCATTGAGGGCGGGATGGCTGGAAATTTTGGTGCCGCGTCATGGATGGATGAGGGTGCACTGTCGCGTGTGGCTGTTGTGGTGCTTGCTCCGTGTGTGTGTGGCGGCGGCTGGGAGTCCTGGACATGTATCTGGTGATGTGGATTCGATGGTTGTGCCGGTGGATGTGTCGTGTGCTCCGAGTGACGGCAGCCTGAGGTATCGCGTGCCTGTGTTTGTGTGTGGGAGTGGAAGAAGTGTTCTGTTGCCAGTGCTGAGGCTCAGTGTGAGAATTATACTTTCAGTGGCTTTGATGTGCGCATGCATGGCAGGAATGGTGAGCTGGGTGCTGTGTGCCATGTGGCCGATGCGGTGCACACATGTAGCAACTGTGCTGCCAGCTGTGCAACGAAGGAGGAAGGGGCCACCGTTGCCTCCACGATGAATGTGCCGTCACATAAATACGCCGGCCCTCATGAATTGTGGTGGCGTCAATTTTCTCCCGATGGAACCATCCATCCGCCTGCACGGAGCGGCGATGCTGACCAGACGGGCATCTGTCAGTTGCCGCCGCCCCGTGAGGGGAAAGATGACACAAAATCTGGCGGGACAACTGCGCCGCAAGTGAATGCTGAGCCGTCACGTCAACACGAGGATTGGCGACAGTCTGCGGCGGCTGACGTACCCAACACCGTCGATCGGAGTCCCGCATCCAACACGGTGACCAGCACGCCTAGGACGAGGCCTGAGTTTGCCAGCAATCCGAACGAAATGATGGTCCCGAATGCATCCAAGAAGAGGCTTTTCTTTGCCTATGGTTTGAAAATATTAGTGGCGTCGAATGGTTCCGGGATCATGTCTGTCACTTATGGCGGCAGGGAACACGTTGCTGCGGTTAACACGGACGAGGTGAGTGAGCACAACGCCACTGGACACAAATCTCTCGTTTCAGAAAATGGCGTTGCAGGCAGTGGATTTGTTGCTGAGGGTGATGCGGACGGATTGACTCAACGCAATGCCTCTGGACACGAAAACCCCAATTACGAGAATTCACCGCGCAGTATTCCGGAAACGGTGTGAGTCCCGACGACTGCTTTGCCGTGCTCTACGACGCGAAATTGACACTGCGAGAGTTAACTGTTGACAGCACTGTGCGTGCGTGTGTGTATTGGGCGTTGCTGCTTCTTCTGGGTTTGTGTGGATTTGTGGCGGTCTCCTGTGCCAAAGAGTGTGGAATTGCGACTTCTCACGGAGAACATGTGCCGCGTTGCATGCGTGTTTTCTTTTATTATTTACGTTTTACTGTTGGTTTTGTTGTTTTCTTGGAATGATACGTATCCTTGCTGTTCCTTTATTTAATGGTCGGCTGCTGCACACTGTCATGAGTGACGTGTTTCTTCTCTTTGTTTTGTTTTTTTTTTGCCCACACGCGGTGCCGGCCTCATTGCTGTGCGTCCCACGGACTGCACGAAAGGAGTATTGGAGGAACAGGCCGGATGCCGCAATGAAGTGTGAAGGATGTTGTGTGGGCTGGTGGAACAGCAAGATCTCTTTTAAATTTATTCAATGGAGGCAATATATGTATACACAAACACATGCTCTTATTTTGCCGCTTGGCGCATGAAATAAACGTCCTGCCGAATAAATTTTATTTATTTATTCCGGGAGTCCTGCCGGACACTCAACTCTTTTCTTGTTTTTATTGCTTAACTTCTGGTTTGCAGGGCGGTGTGCAAGTTCTGCAATTGTACTGATTTCCTCTGCCTCGACGTGCGTGCTGCTCCTGCTGCTGTTTGTTACTTTGGCTGTGTTACTTTTTTCTCTGCTTACTTCTGCTCTGCGTTGACGGGGAGTTAGTTTGTGCTGAAGGCTGCACGCAAGTGACAGGAGCGATGATGATGACCGGCCGTGTGCTGCTGGTGTGTGCCCTCTGCGTGCTGTGGTGCGGTGCCGGATGGGTTTATGCGAGAGAATTCGAGAACAACGCACTGGGTGGCTGCATGGCGTCGGGAGCGTTGGGTGCTAGTTGGT